CTGAATTCTAGAGAGCTTCAGCTGAAATCTCTTGCATGGAAGATAATGGATGGATGATCTATCACCAAACTTTTTTGAGTCAATGAAGAGAAGAAGAAGAAGAAGAAGAAGAAGAATAAAGGGATCCGAGGTTCCTCTCAGCGCAAAAACCAGATATGGGAAATGAAAATTCCTCTACTTTTCGTTATAAAATTAGCGAAAATTTTCAAATTATTTCACTTCCCTTTTTGCTGCTGACATGAACACTCCGATCCCCAAAGTTTCCTTTTTCTTTTTTTTTTTTTCAGAACCAAACATGACCATGAAACTTCACAAACAAAGTAGAGAAAAGAAAGAAATAAATGAAGAAATCCTAAAATCTAGTGAAAGAGAAACGTGGGGTTTAAGGATTAATACTTCTTTTTCCCTAGATGAGAGAAGAAGTGATGGAGGAACCAAGATTTGCCGGATCATGCCAAGTTTGAGAGCTCCAATTACCGTAAAGAGAAGAATTAGGATCGTTAGATTGGCCACCAACAACAATCTCCTCCGTCGGATTCTGCTGATTATCCCACTCCAACCTCTTCACCCCTTGTTCCAACTTCACTTGATCTCCGCCGTTGGATCCCATCACATGAAGGTGATCAAACGGTGGCGATGAGGCTAGGTTTTCAAAAACACTCGGATCACCCGATCTATTACCAAACTTGGAAGCAAGCAAAGAAGAAATAGAACTCGGAGCTGATGGGTTACCAAATAAACTCGAATACCCGGAAAGGAGCGAACTTGAACCGAACCCATTTAAATTAAAGTCCCTATGATCAATATTAGCAGAAGAAAACCCTAATCCCAGAGAATTCAAGTGAGGTTGAAGATCATACCCTGAAAACGGAACGTTCAGATCGGAGGTGGGGCCGTAGAAGAGATTCGTGTGTGGATTTGGAAGTGGCGTGGGATTATTGTTGTTATTATTATTGGGACAAGAAGTAGAGGATGAGGAAGTGGAATCCGGGTTGGAAAGTTGGGATTTGGAATGGGTGGCGGTGGTGGGTCTTTTGAGGCGCTTGTTTTTCCGGCAGCCGCCGCCGACGGGGACGTTCCTCAAAGTGCCGCCGCGGGTCCAGTAGCGCTTACAGGCCTTGCAGAAGTGGCGGGGCTGGGAGAGGCTGTAGTTGTTGTAGTAACAGAATTTGGTGTTGGATGAATCACAGCGAGGACATCTGAGGGGTTCTTGATTGTGTTGTTTTTGCTGCGGTTTCTGATCTTGTTGTTGTTGTTTGTCCATTATTCCGGAGGTTGAACCCATCAGATTCAGCCCCTTTTGATCATGATCTATACTGCTCTGATTCTTGATCTGTGCGGGGAAAAAGAAAAGAAGAAAAATTTATGAAATCAATTCACATATATTCGATTCCAAGAGGAAAGCAACAAAAAAGAAAGAAAAAAGAGGGTGTGGTCAAATAATTTTGTAGAGAGAGACAAAAGAGAAGAGGGGTAAAATTTTTACTTACTTGTGGCCATTGGTTAGCGGAGGAAGAAATGAGAACCATTTTCTCACAGTTTCCCAGCATTTTTCTGATGATGATGATCTCTCAATCTGCTTTCTGTAGTGAGGAATTTTTGTTAGGAAACAAAGTGTAAACGGACAAAGAGTAGGTGATGACGATTTTGGAGACTCTCTTCTTTCTTCTCTCTCCTTTCTTCTCTCTCTATTTGATGGGGTTGAAAATATTATGACTAAAAAGAGTGAGATTGGGCAGCGGAATTGAGACCATTAATTTGATGATTATATTATATATATAATAATTTAATCAGAATTTCACGTGGTGTGTGAAACCCAAATCTCTCTCTTTATTTGTGTGATGAGAACAGTGAAGAAAGAAGCCAAGAGTGTAGAGAGAAAGAAACATTCAGAAATCCAATTAAAAAAAAAAACAAGAAGAAAGGGAAATAAAGTTGAAGAATGTTACAGATGAATCTTGAGAGGTCCAAGGAAAAGAAAAGGGGGAATTAATTGTGAGAGGTTTTAAAAAATGGCATGCACATATTTGATACTTTTTCTTATCTCTCTCTTGTATTTTACTGCCGTAAAACATTCCTTTATTTTGAAGTAAAACAAATGTACACAGAGGGAATCCCTAGAGCTCAACGCCCAATGCAAAGGCATCAAAACCATAATCCCACCACTTCCACTTCCACTTTAACCCCCCAACCCCAACCCCCCTTCTAAGTTTCCTTTCCCTGTCGGCTTGTTTTGAGAAAATTTTTTCCTAAATAATCTCGAATTACGTAACATGTTAAAACAATACAAACCAGTAAATTTAATAGTTAATACTAGCCACATCAGCAATGCTAGGTAAAGATATGTCTTAGCTATTTAAATTATGTTTTTACAAGCATTAAAGGAAGTAGACACTGCCAAAAATAATTATAATGGGGTTATAATTGGGTAGAGTTGCTATATGTTTAGATTGAGTACTTAGGGTTGTGGGTGAGCATTACAGTAAAATAATATAACCCCAAGATGAAGATTGACAGTGAAATGCAATTTTTTCCGCTCTTTGGGATGATACTAGAGTTGTTGTAATTATGATATCTCCATCATTTTGTTAAATTGGAGTGCTTTAATTTTGCCTCCCTCTTTTGTAATGAAATGGTCCGATTGGTATCTCTTAGAAAGGGGTTTGGTAGAAAGAACTAAGAAGGGGGTATATATGGGGATGGGCCAATATAAAGGCAAATGGGTTAGTGAGTATTAAATAGTAATTGCATTATTGAAGGGTTATAATTTAGATGACTTTTGGGGAGATCTAAAAGAAGCTATTTTTGAATAGGGGGGGAAGGGAAAAGAAATCGAGGGGTGTACATAATTGTGTGTTGTGTTGTAGGAGAGGTAGTGGAAGTATTCGTTTTAGGACATGAATGGTGATAATTCCAAGAGCAAGGGACAAAACAGACTAACATGTGGGGGTCTCTCTTAATTTTCTACTTTAATTATTCTGTGTGGAGAAGGAATTATAAAGGGGCTGTGTTTTTGAGGGCCATGTGGTGGGCAGCTCAGCTCAGCTGAGGAACAATTGGATTTTGTAGTAAACCAAGGGATTTTCTCGTTTCCCCTAACATTCCATCATTATTCCCTCACCACTTCTCTTACTTTTCTCATATATTAACGCACCCCTCTGCCTTTGGTTTTTGGGAGTTCACTTTTAATATTAACTCTGTAATTTAATATGAGTTGATCAGTGTGTGTGTACTGTGTTTGGCTATGCACCAAGTTTGTGCATATGTAATTTTGCCTTCAATTAAGATCCATCCGCTGCCCAACTTCTCATTATTCAGATTTCCCCAATAAGGGCAGACTTGAAGACTCATATATTGCATTAATTTCATTTCATTCCCTTCTCATATACATTATCAAATTAGAGAGAAACTAATTACCATATACTTCCTTTATTCGCACCATGTTTTTACTTTTAGAAATGAGAGATAATTGTCCTCTCTTATATACTATAGATCACATTTTCTTGATCAATGCGGGATTTTGTTTGCACACCTTACAACTCCAACAATTGGTGGATCCTACATTTTTAATACGATATTGACGTGACAAGTAATGAATGAATCGGAAGGAGTATCCATATTCTTATAGTACCGAAAATTTTGGAGGGGAATGGGGTCCTACCAAAGCAACCCACCGAATGGGATGGGGTTACTGAAGAGGCCACTAGGCAGCAGCGGACAAGAGAATCCAAACAGGCAAATATTGAAAGAAACCCAACACGCACGCTTTTGAAGGCAAAGTGTGGAGTTTTTGAAGAGGGAAAAAATTAAAAGGGGGACCTCAACACATCATCAACTCCATCTCAACTCTCAACTCATCACATCTAATAATCGCTTGTGTTTGTGTTCAGACAAAGATCTCAATCCCCATTTTGGTTGTCACTGGCAGCTTATTTGGACATCCACTTTCTTGTTTCATTTCCCTTTGATCTCCTCAATATAACTTAAATGGCAACCAAAAAAAGGAAAAAAAAAAAGAAGAAAAAGAAAAAGCAACCCCTTTTAAATCTTGGCACAATATAATTCAAGTCTCCATAATTTATTAAATTGGGTATTTGGGTGTCAATCATTTTACCTCTAATATATGAGTCCCCATCCAATGATGATGCATCACACACTCACTTTTTTTCTTCAAAGTGAACATGACACCAAACCATGTTTTTTTTTTTTTTTCCTTTTTGACAATAATGCTGTGTGTGTGGAACTGGAGGAATCCAAATCCCTCTCAGTAAAATTCAAAACTTTTTGTAGTTTTTACAGTGTGTATTACACGAAAGTAAATGAATAATTTATCGACCGCGAAAATGATTGGGAAAAAGTCAGGGAGATATTTTTCATTCAGTGGATAATTAGTAGTAGGGAGATGCTTATAATGAATGACAAAAAAGAGATTATGATTTTTAGTAATCAAAATGAGGCAATCACAGCCATTAAAAATGTGTGTGCTTTAAGAGGAAAACCAACCCCTTTTTCCTCCATTACATGATTGCCATGTACATCTTCAGAAAAGTAGTTATTCCAAGTAAAGTATATATATGCTCATTCATCTCAGAAACAAAACAAAAAAAGAACCCAAAAAGCAACTCTCACCGTTGGTTTTTATAGATTCAGAAATTAATACATAACCTTACAAATGACGAACTATCGATATTATTTAGTTGCATCGTATATATATAATATGTTTTGAATTATTCCTACTTTGTTCGTACAGAATTGGAATCAAACGATAGTCAAAGGTTCATACAGAAGGAGGGTTGAATTAAATCTATATATTTGTTATATTAATTAAACTTGAGTATAAAAAAGTGCAGTGGAGTTTTGTATAGAATTATATATATGGAGCAGTTGAGGGAGGGGAGTTCCCATGAGATGGTCAAACTTGGGAAATTGGAAAATTCCAGTGAAGTAGTGGCCATAGATGGCCTTTATTTTAAACAAATATTTCTCTCTTAAAGCTTCTACACATGCCTTGGACTGTTGCTTGTGGAAGTTTCTTTATATCCTTGGCATCAAACTATTCAATTTCAAGATACCCATTTCCCAATTTATTTGTTTCTCACAGAGAGAGGGAGGGGGGTTCATATATATTTGGAAGTCTTTCTGATGGAAAACTAAAGGGTTGTAAAATTTTGAACATTTTTTATTTTTAGTAAAAAACATAAGTGGGACACCAACTTCTTTGTGGTGGCAATGTCTAGGCTCATCACTATTCATTCATATTCTTTTACGATATTTCCGATCTTTTTTTCGAGTCCTGCACTGGATATAGTGTTATTCAAACCAGGTAACGAATTTCGGTTAGGAAGATCTATTAGCATAAGCTATAGGTTAAATTAAAAAAAAAATCAAAATTTTGATTAACATTAATTGTATGCCTATGCGTGGTATTAATTTTTGATTTCTAAGCTGATTAAAAGATGTTATAAATACAAAATAAATGAATAAAAAAATTATGAGGATTATTTGAACTCATCTTTTAGATTTAATAAGATGTTAAATTATCATCAAACATAAACGAATAAACTATTACATGAGAATAAATTAAATATTTTAAATTCATTATGGTTACATATAAATAATGTAAAAGTGGGGAAGATAGGTGTTATTCTCTCCCAAGTTGGCAAGAAAGATAATATTAATCTAAGAGGATTAAAAATTGTAAAATATCAATATGTCATGATTATGTTGATCTTACAATGATCTGCTTACGTTAAATTGAAATTCCTTGCACTTGTAACCTTGTTGTCGTCCATTATCCACAGTCTTTATTAATTATTTATCTTTTTAGGTTCCAATAAATAATCAATTTATTAAATATCTCTCCTACCTAATTTAGGTGCTCCTCGTCTACCCATCAAAGGCCAAAAAAAAAAAAAAAAGATTCACTCCATACATTTTATATGGGATTTTTTTTAATTATAACAGCAATCCCACCAAAAAAAAAGGTTAAAATAATAATTTCATCAATGGAAGATAATAATAATTAAAAATAAATAAAGCCATCATTTTGGTTAGAAATAACTCAATGTAAGAGGCGGTTTATTGTTTGTTGATACAGGATTCTGTCGAGTTATCGTCGAAGGTCAGCCATGTGGCAACGAGGACGAGTTAGTAAGTTACAACCTTAAGCAAGAGAGACCTGAAAAATGAACAATCACTCTGATGTTCAAGTTAGGGAGAACACAAGCTACGAAAAGTTGTTTTCGAAGTAGAATTGCGTACCTATGCGAAGAGGCAGAATGCCCCTTTTATATGTAATAGGGGACTAGGTCCATTGGAACTGCTCCAACCGGCGGTTACAATTGTCGAGCCCCCAGGTCATTTGTCGGACCTAAGGTCGGTGGAAGAGAACTGGCGATTCTCTAACTGAGTTATGGTCTTCAGCTCATTTCTGAGTATAGGTCTTCTCCTCCATTGGGTTAATTGAATGGACTCGATGATACCGAGCTGAGTTGATTGGTCCACGTATCATATCATTTTTTTTTTTTTTCCTCCAATATTGTTAGGTGTTGATTTTCATAATCATAGGTGAGACCCATGAGACCCATCAAATTTGGATTTTCGCAATGATAATTTATAGTTAAATTTTAAATGTGAAGCATAAAACTTGATTTTGACCTTAATCATGATTTCTTATAGGATTAGTCCAGCCAATTAAATAATTTCGCTGAAATAAATGTAAATAATGTTATGGGTTAGGAAAATAATTAT